AGGAAGGCTGCTGTGGGGCCGGAGACCAAGCGCTTGCAAGCTTTCAGGAACCTGCTGCATGTCACTTGTCAGCACTGACAAAACACCACGCACGATGGAGGCAAGCTATTCAGGTGCTACCAGCTGCCCCTTTGCAAAGCCATTAAACCTCCACTGATGGAGCGCTGCACAGTTACCTGCTGCTCTCACCTGGGATCTTCTTTGCTATTGCCAGCGCTGTTGTTGGAGCTCGTAACCTTTCCGCACCAACACCCTGGCTTCAGCCGCAAACACACCCTGACTGCACACACAGGCTTCTTCAGCTGTCCCACCCAGCAGGCCAGCACAGGCACCACCAGGACAGCTGAGAGCACCACAGAGACGCCCTGCCCCGACAGCTGAAACATGGCACAGGCAGCTCCCAGGCTGTGCCCTGCTCACCCAACCTCTGCAATGGCAGAAGAACTTCTGGCTGAGCCAGTATTTTCGGAAAGGAAAAAGGAATATTGTCTCTCACCTGCTCGCAGCTTGCTGTGAAACATCACACTGGCTCGCAGCGCTCTCCCACGGGGCTGTAAAGCGCCCCAGCATGCTGGGTGTCCAGTCCCTAGTGCCTTCCTCACCCTGTAAGCCTGTGAACCTCTTCCCATCCCCATTGCAGAGGCAGGTGGGCAACTGAGCCACACAGACCCACCCTCACATGGAGCTGAAGGCAGGGCAGAGCTGAGCCGGGCAAACACCGCAGCCCCATCCCAGCTACCCACTGTGGGTACACACTCAGCAGTGGCAGCGTGCTGGGAAACCCAGCCACAAACATACAGTCCCCAAAGGGAAACAGAGGAAACCACGCAAAGCTGGGGCAGGGTCAGGAGCTACACAAGTTCGGAGAGCTCTGGGGAATCAATTCTGCAAGCACCACAGCCCAGCGCTGTCCTAACAGGTTTTCAGCGCTTCTGGCCATCTGGCTTTATGTGGTGTTTGGATTTAATTTTCTTTTTCTTATTCTCACAGACAAGTTCCCCACTGATGGCAGAAAGGACAAGGAGGTTAGAAAGGTCAGCACAAAGCAGCAGCTGGGCACGGTTTGGGAATATTTGCAACATTACTCTGATGTTCACACAGACAGACCTCACTCCAGAAAAACAAGACTTCGAATGACCTGCATTGAGGACATTTACAATAGACAAAATACACCTGCACACACCGCATCAAAACCCACCTCCAGATTCCCTCACAAGCAGACAACCAGCACGGCCCGCTGGCTGACATGAAGCCAACCCCTCAGCCATCAGAGTCATCCGTATGGGAGCAGGGGCTCCGAAGCCCTTTGGCACTGCAGGGCACCTCTGCACTCAGCGCCGCATCTCCAGAGATGTCTGACATACACTAAACCACGGCAACGTGCCCAGATCCATTTTTGAACACAGAGTGCGGTGCCAGGAGGGAGGTTTGGGGTGAACACTGATGGAGGCTGCATCTCTCCATCCCTTCACCACACAGCCATCCTCCCGGTGCGCTGTAGCAACACTTCCAAGATGCCCAACCCTTGCCTAGATTTGGCTGAGGTTGCCCAACATGCACAGAAAGCCCTGGGAGGAGGTTTCACTGCACGGAGAGCCAGCATGCTCTGCAGAAGCAGCAGAGGCAGGAATAAAAGATAATTATTTGCCCATCTTGTGCCTGTCTCAGCCAAGCTCTCCAAGGTATTTGCATTCATAAGAATCAGAGTAATCAAAATTTGATATTAAATGCCCAAGTTGCAGAATAAATTCCTAGACGGCGCTGGGGGATTCTCCCCCATCCTAATGGCAGAGACACAGCTGAGCGCGAAACAGCCCATGGTGGAGGTGAACAGGAGGGGTATAACACTCCAGTCTAACCCAGAGTCTGAGAAAAATAACCACTGCTGCTCCAGGATTCCGCTGCCCTGCTCATGCCTCGCAGCTCCGAGACCTGCCGACCCCAGGATGGGAGATGGGTGCTAGAGACCTTCTCCAGCAGGGAGGGCAGCCGGCAGGGCTGGCGAAAACTCAAACTTAGCTGAGCAAGACGACTCCTCAGAAGATGCTCTCGCACCTGACAAGACCCTCCACACCCATTAAGCAAAGCAGCAGCATCTCCCTACAGCGAACAGCACATGAGATCACTTCTGCCAGCACTGAACCTGCTCAGCATCTCAGGGCCACTTCACTGTATCGTGAGTGCAAAGCATGCACTGCACGTCCTCGATCCCAAAGAGCAGCCGCGGGCGTATCTGCCCCAGCTCGCTCGGTTTACACTGTTTATCACAGATACCTGTTCCTGGTTCGGCTTTAAAAAAATTGGATACTTTTTAAAAAAGTATCACACTGTCGACACACACCACCAGGAACCCCCTCTGTACCAGCCCAGCTTTGAGTGGTCCCCACAAAGCTGCCCCTCTCATTCCTCCCCACAGGAGACGTTTCCCTTTGTGTGGGGATGCCTAGAGCGGACCCACAGCACGCTCTCCTCTTCCCAAGCTGTCTCTGCTTTTACTACAGGCACCTACAAGCTACTACTGCAAGCAAAAACACGCTCACCAAAGCAATAAGTTGCATGCATTCAGGTTTCAAGTATTACTGTGTCGGCTCACTCCCGCACTAATTTGTGAAGCTGAGTGATTCACAGGTGGCCTCTCCCAGGGACTGCTCTGCTGCCTGCTCTCCAGTGAATAAGCTGCTATCCGGCTCAAGTCTCACATTATTTATCAGGTTTGTATTTTTTTTAAACACTCATCAATGAACAAGAGTCAGTAAGTGAGCAATTTGCCAAGGTGGGGTTGGGCACAATTAGATGATACACAGTGTGCATCCTTCATCTGCCTTTGCCTGCTTAAGACAGGCACTGCAATTGTGCTTTGAGAAACTGAGGGCAGATTGTGCGTAAATGCAGTCACTCGTCACTCTACTCCACCTCTCCCTGAAACACAGTTGACCTGCCTCTTGTATAGCTCCAGGCTCTGATTTTATTTCTTTTTTTTTTTTTGGTTTTTGTTTTTTTGTTACACTGAACTACAGGTCACAAACAAGCGTTGACTGGCTGTTTCCTAACATTTTCTGAAATCAGGTGAGAGAGCAAGCAGTTTTGTAGCAGCATCAGAACACAAACAAATAAAATAAAGCAAGCAGGAGAGTGTTACCACCAGTTAGATTTCACTGGCATCGGTGGGATTACAGCAGGGCTGAGCTTGGCTTTGCTGTCACTGTAAGCATCGCACCAGAACCTGCAGCACCGGCAACATAGGTGAGACCCCGCGCACTTAGGAACAAGACCAAACCATCAGGACAACACAGGAATAGTCCCACTAAGCAGAAACCGCTCTGTTCCGGGCTCTGCCCAGCACACCAACAGCCCAGGCCAGGATATTCATATTAAATGGACTGGTACTGCCCTGGGGTGAGGTGGCTTCTGCACAGACCAGTGAGTTCCAGTTCCCCAGCATCACTGCAGCATCCATCAGGAACATGAGGAGTTTCTGGACTGATATCCAGCATCCATGGGAACAGGAAAACCTGGATGCGTACATGCCTGCCTCCTCTGCAGCCCAGGCACTGTCAGTAACCTCAGCGAGCACCAGATTTCATCAGGTTTCTGCCACAAAGTAAGTTTGTCTCCTCACTGCCTCCCCTTCCCTTTTGCCTCTTCTCCTTCATTACAGGTTTTGTAAGGCAAGGATTACCTCTGCTCAACTCATCTGTAGAGCTCCCAAGACAAACAGGGCTCTCAGTCTTTCCTGGAGGGCACAGACATTTCATAACAGAATGACTGCCTGCAAAAAATACCTTATAAAAAAATAACAATAATTAAAAAATAAAATAAATTCATGCATGAGAAGACAGCCAGGTAAGCAAAACTGCCCTGAGTCTCACCTACTTGAAACACGCACGAACTAGAGCAAGCAGAAGCATCAGGCCAGCTGGGGCAGCACCAGGGACGGCCAAGCTGGACCAACGGCTGTGGCACGGCAATGCCATCCGCCGCTCTCCTCCATCTCACCTGCACAAACCGGCTAACTCTTCCATGATGCACAAAGCACAGCGTTTCATGTCAGAGAAGCCGGAGAGTCAGGATAGAGACCTGCTGCAAACCAAGCTAATGACCCGTCGGCCATCATGCTGGGTACTGCCAGCTCTTCCTCTTCAGGGAGCAGCGGGATCTGTGCTGTCAGTTTAATAAGTTTCCTTATAGCATCACAACATCAATGGGCAACACCAGAACGACTGGCCTAGATACAGAGTACTTCAAAATCCCAAGGGGAAAAAGTACAAATTCACTCAGAGCCCTGCTGTAATCCGCACTGTCCTAGCAGTCATCACAGACAGTGACTCAGTCGTGGGTGACCTCCCTTCATGCTCCATAAGGCTAATACTGAGTTTAACAGGGTTAGTTCTGCCTTTAATGACCAGGGCTCCTGTGAATACAGGAAGATGTTTCACCACAGCCTGAACGCAGCAGTGGGCTGGGTCGCTCTCCCCCTCCCCCCAAGCAAGGGACACAGCAGAAGGTCCCATCCCTGCTCCTCGCTGACCGTCTCAGAGGCAGCGCAGATCTAGCTGGGCATGAAACCCAAAACAGTCCCTTGCCCATCACGGAGTGACCCACAACAACACACGCAAGGTCGCAGAGCACAGCCCCAGCCCTGGCCATGGCTGCTGCCATTGTCACAGCATGGATGCGCTTCACCCACTGGGGCAAGGCAGGGGAGCCGTGGGAGAGAGACAGACGTCAAAAGCAATCAAATGCTCCTCTTTCTCAAAGGCGGAAATGTCGCCAACATTACAAGCCTTAGAGGAGTTAAAAGGAAAGGCTTATTAGAAAGAAAACTCGTTCTGACAATCACAAAAATTGGAATTCATTTAAAATTCAAATTATGCAAATTCAAGTAATCTGTACGTGCAGATCCATCACACGCCAGCAGTGGGGCCGCAGACACACGTCACCAGCTATGTGGCTGAGGGAAATCCGCACTCCACCACGCTTGGAAAGGCAGGCGTGCTTACCTCCAGCAGACACGGGAAGGGCGGCCGCTCCTGGGGACCGGGGCCGGAGCAGGATCTGCCGGTGCTCCCTCCGCACTGGCAGGGAAGCGGAAAGATGCCTCAGCAACACCGGCAGCACTCCAGCATGCCGCACCCCAGGGGCGCAGGGAGGCAAGCCTCACATGTTTCCAGACGAGCTACAACAAAGTCTCCCTTGGAGAAGCTTAGATGCCCATGACCAACACAAAGCCTTCGTTAGGCAGTCTAATCAAATGGATGCAAGACAGCTGCACGGCACAGGATGCACACGGGCAATAGCTCTGCCCCATCTTCATCCATCCTGCCAGGTTGGGGTCCTGGCCACCCCCGTCCCCCATCAGAAGCCTCTCCCCTGACTCAGCAATTCCCAAAATAGAAAGCCAAGCAGCTGCGTCGCAAGACAAAGGCAGCTCAGACTGTCAGCACAGAAAGAGCAAAGCCAGAAATCAAACGTTATGAGCTGGATAAGTGCAACAGCCCGGAAAAATGAATCAAGCTTTAAATATGGACTTTCCTAAAAGGTCCCAGATGAACCACTGCAGAAGAGGCAAATCATATTCTCTCCTGTGAATGCTCTGCCGCGCACAAGGAGAGCAGCTCTCACCTGGCACCAATTCCTCCACCAGCCATGCTCAGAGAGCCGGGGCCAGGCAAAGTAGGCATCACGCAGCAGGCCAGGGCACAACACAAACCCAGGGGAAACGGCAATGCCTCCAGCACAGAGATGGAAAGTAATTACCCAACCTTGGGAGGACATATAGCCCAGCAGTAGCTACCTGTTCTTGGAAATAGCTTCCCCAGGTTGGCAGGACCTTTACTTTGAAGTTAAAAATGAGGCTCTCTAGCTGCATGGGGAATACTGGTCCCATACCAGCCCAAGCCTCAGCTAACGAGCTGCCAGCTCAGCTTCCTGCACACTCACTGCCCCGAGCCTCCGTTCAAGGGCTCTGCTGATGCCCTTTCCAGGTAGGATGAGTCTGCTTTTCTCAGCAGGTCTCACAATGTCACAGCCCATGGCTGAGCCTACAGCAACAACATCTTGCCCCGTTCCTTGAGGGACACAAATCAGTTCCGTGGGCACACCATGGAAAGCTAAAAGTCCCCAAAACTTCATAAAGTCAAAGGCCAAAGCAAACCAGCTGCAGACAGCACAGCAAGCTGCCAGCACGGCACTGGGCTGCCCACGGGCTGGGGCAGAGGGCTGCCCCATGGGGAAGGGCAGAACCCACCTCTCTGCAGGCACCAGGACGCTGGCTGTGCTGAGAGCTCAAGTCCTTCCACGCCTTTTGCACCCACCTCCGCTGCAGAAGGGATGCTGTGGATGACAGGTCCCCCAGAGGTACTGAAACACCATCTCCGAAAGAGGAACAGTCCCCAACATCCCAGCGACCTCCTCTCCCTCCCGCTCTCCTGGGTGCAGCTTGGGGCTGCAGATCCAGGCTGAAAGACAGAAGAAGTGGCCGTCCATGCCTTACCCCACAGCAGGACCGCCTCATCTGAACACCTCCAATGTCTTTCAGCTGCTCACCGGACACACTATCCTGCTTCTGCTTGTCTCCATCCCTGAGGCTTTCCCCTGCTTCCCGAGCCCTAGGCAGCAGCTCCCACAGAGACAGTTCACGGGTGTCACTGGCAGTTTCAGGGTCGTGACCAGCTCCCCCAGACTCACCCCCAAGGCATCTGCTGCTGCTGCACACAGAAAATCGTCAACACGTTGCCGAGGTCGGAACTGTCCTCCTGGGGAGATGGGGCAGCTACATTCGAGGGTATGAGCACAAGCAGAGATCACGAGCCCCCAAAGCCACACTGTACAGCAGTGATGCAGCCCAGAGGACACCAGAGGCAGCACCAGTCTGTGCGACCCAGCACGGGGATCAGCCCCTCCTCTGGACTAGAGGAAAGTCAGCGACTTCAGGGACAGGGGGTCTTCAAACGATGGATCTGTCTGAAGCCTCTGGCAGGGTGAGCACCGCTGCCTCAGCCGGCAGCTCTCGGCAGCACTTTGGGGTGCACAGGCACCCACTCCCCGCTCCGATCCCATTGTGCTGATGCTCTCACCCATTTCCAACCAACACCGAGTGCTTTTCAGCATGGGGACACCCGAGCCCTCATTACAACCCTGAGGCCAATAACAAGGCAGGAGAAAGGCCATACGAATCCCTGTATCGGGTGTCTCTGGGAAAGAGAGGAGGCAAAGCCCATTAAACATTGATCACGGTCTCCTGCAGTTGCGGCGCAGCCCTGACGTGTCCAGGCCATGCTGCCACCAGGATGCTCTGCAGGGCCAGAAAGGGCTGAGCTGTGCCCAGGGTCTCAGCGCTGGCTCATTGCTCACCCCAGCACCTCGCTGCACCTGTCTGGAAACCCTCGAAAAGACACAGCTGCCCACGCGCATGAGGCAGAGGACAGGAAAACTCATTTCCTACTTCCAGCCTTATTTCATACTTTGGACTGCAGCGCCCGGAGACACGGTGCTCGCCCCGCGCGCTGTCTGGCTGAGCCACAGCCACCTCCGAGCCAGTGGCTGCCTGGGGGGAAGCAGGGAGCCAGAAACCCTGCCAGGAGAGGCAAGCAGGGGCTCTGCCGTGATGTGGGCAAACTCGAGCTGCTGCTGCCATCTGCTCCGCCAGGCTGGAGCGGCCTGTTTTTCTGTTGTTTTGGTAATGCTGCGCATAAAAATAGCTCTCAGGCATATCGGTGTTTTTGGGAAGCCATGCGTGTGTGAACGCAGGGCGAGCAGACGCCCTGATACTCACAAATTGCCGCCGCAGCTTGGTCTTGACGCGCTCGGCCTTCGTCTCTGCCGGGTGGACGGCATAGCCGAGGGAGCCCAGGTGGTTGTCGACCGACAGGCTCTTCCTCATGTAGAAGGAGCGGGTGCGGAAGTAGCTGAATGGGGCGTCCTCCACCGCCGTGCCAAGCTGGGGGTCCCTGGGGGGGTCTGCGCAGTCATCCTCCAGTCGCCATGCCTCTCCTGGGGAGCAGAAGGATATGCCACCCATCAGAGCCACGTCCTGTCCCTCCAGCCCACCAGCGGGGATGGCCAGTGGACATCCCAGACCCCTTCTCCCCATTGCACACCTACCAGCACGCCATGGGGTACGGCTCCTGCAGAACTCACTCCCTGGAGAGGGTCAGAGAGCACATCCCTGTCACAACTCCCTGTATGCCCCTTGGCCCCCACCTGCCCCAGGCAACAGCCCCTGCTCCCACCCTGTCCAGCCTCATGCACCCACAGCATCTTCCCGGCAAGAATCAGACTAACACAGTTGAGTACAACAAAGACTTGGCCAGAGTCAGGGTCCCCAGGCACTACTGCAATACAAATATTATTACTCAGAATCAGCAGCAGACTAAAATCCTAATACTTGAAAACTTCCTGCTATTTAACTCTAATAGGGTTATCCCATTTAAAAGGGTCATTTATAAAGAAATAAAAAAATTCACTTATTCTTCATCATCCCAAGTCCAATAAAACATTCCACATTAAAAGAAAATGTTTTGGGTTGTTGTTTTTTTTTAAAGGCATAAAAATCTTACAATCCAAACCACACAGAGTTCTTGCTGCTGGCATTAAAACTATGCATCTGTTTCAGACCTTGCTCCTGCAGGTATCCACATGCTCTGCACTTGGTAACAATAATAAATCTTGTTTTGTGAACGGGAAAACTGAGGCACCACAAATGCTGCAAATTACAAGAGGATTTACTGCCACGTCCTTCTCCAGAAAACTCTTTATGGCACGGCCAAGAGCAAATCAACAGCCAAACCAAGGACAGAAACCAGACCTCTGGTCTCCTCGAGCTCTACGCAGCCCATCGCCAGCAGCAGCATCCGACGCAGCGCTGCAGGGCTGGAGCGTCCAGAGACAAAACCTCACTGACGCCGAGAAAGCGGCAGTGGAAGAGGACAGTTGGCATCACACAGAGCTGTTGCTCCCGGGGTAGGACTGACCATATTTCATTGCAACAAAAGGGAAGAATAACAAAACACAATAGGAAATGTCTCCATAATATCACCGCTCTGCTCTTTTCCGAGCAGCTTGGATGCCGCATGCTTTCTGTTGCCAATCTCGTCTTTACATCTGGAGTTTGCCCTGCCTCCCAGCCCCCAGCCAAAACCACTTCTCAACAGCCATAACAAATGAGCAATAAAACCCCCTGGCTCAATTCTGGTAAAAATGATCAATTATTAGCCATCGCAGTCCAAAGGGGCACCTCACATGATTGTCTTCAGAGACTCTCCTCCTGCAGCTTCTTCCCAATGCAAGATGACTTGCCTCTGGTTTCTGAAAAACCCAGTATCTTCAGGCACAAATGACCATAGCCCTGCTACCCAGGGCTGAGGAGCAAAATATTCCAGAGTTTAAAGCAGATACAGGCCCTAAGGTACAAACCAGCCACAAGTGAGTGAGCAAAGTCCATAGTTTACCCAGCAAGGCTGCAGGGAGAGCGCGTGAGCCGCGCCGTGAACACAAAGCCACTGTGGCCTCAGAGCAGCGACCGGCCGCTCCCTCTTCTGCATCTCAAACAAATACATCTCTTCCCAAAGCTCCCCAAGCTTTTCAAGGTGCGAAGACAGTTCATCGCTTGCCAGCGAATCTGAAGGCACCGAATTGAAACCAGCAGAACCGAGAGGACAAGAGAGAAGAGTAAGCCAGAGAGCTTAAAAATGTGAACAAAGAGGCAACCTGAAGCAGAGCACTACAGAGCATCGCATCTTTTTTTTTTTTTTCCCCTCCCCTACTTTCAATTTAATAAGCTGCTGCTGCTCCTCTCCAAATGTCAACTCACACAACACAGGAACTGCTGTTTGAAAGCTGTGATTATTCAACGTGCAAACACGTCAATCGGAGCCCAGCTTCAGACTGCGCTGTGAGATAGCATTGCCCCGGGGACGCAGCAGGAAACACCGCGGCACAGGCACCGAGCCCGGGAGCAGACCCACCCAACGCACAGGAAAACAGCACACGGAAGGAGGAACCGGCCCCAGTGCCCCCTGCTCATCTGCAGCGGCTCAGCCACCACCTGCACCCCTCTGTCCCCAAGGCTGTCCCTCCCCAGCCCCACGGCATGCCCAGACGCAGCCACCACTGCTCTGCTGCCCTGGGTGAGGGAGAGCCAAGGCTGCGTGCTGCACGTAGCCCAGTTACCAAGGCACAGCCACCTGCCGTACCCATCCATCCATGCAGGACACCTCTCCCAAGGATGAGGAGCTGGGTTTCAAGCCCCACAGACCAACTGAGTCACATCTGATCTCACTGATCTCAGTTTCCCATGGATTTTGCCATTCCTGGTCTCATCTCTCTCCAAGGAGCTACAGGCAGCTGCATCCTCCAGTGCAGTCCTGGAGCAGGACCAGCAGCAGAGCTGTTCCATGGCCTGCCCGAGAGGTGATCCCCTCCAAATCTCTCCCCTGCTTGGGCAGAAGGACTATGGACCCTCTTCTCTGGGCATGGGGAGTGACTGCAGAGGGAGCCAGGACCTTGTCTACCCCAAAAAATTTTTCCACATGCTGAAGGAGCTTGTTCCTTATCTCTACCAAACAAGTAAATCAACGATCAAGCCCAGAATGGTCAGAAGGGGAAGATCACGAAGTCCCTGGAGAGGAAAGCCCACAAGCTAGAGATCAACAATCCTTACGCTCTTCTGCCTTGAAGCTGCTGACCTCTCTGCCACCCAGAGCTATGCCCAGCAACATTGGCAGCTCTAGGAGATTAACCATCTTCTTGGGCTTAGCAATAACAATTGCAGCAAAGCCTTTCTTCTTTCCGTATTTGAATGGTTGAGGACATGCACCAAAGGATGGAGGGAGCAGCAAGGACAGAGACCTGGTGCCTCTCCAATAATTCCTCTCCCAGCACAGACAGGCTGATCCCTCAGGTGCTGCGAGCAACACAGAAGGTTTTCCTCAGCACCAGTGCACCGGCTGGTGTAAAAAGGCTCTTCTGTTCCTCTGGGCGGGGGGGGGGACGGACATGGCCCAGGTACCAGGTTGAAGCCTCAGAGCCAGGAGTCTTCCTCTCATTAAACAGCACGGCACCAGGGAGAAGAGGACAGGAACCAGCACCGCCACCCAGCTGAAAGCACAGGATGGGCATCTGTGCAAGCAAAGCTGTTTCAGGAGGGGGCCGTACATCCATGCTAAGCTCAACAGAGATGCAAGACTGACGCTCATCCAGACACTGTTGAAGGCCATGCAAAACATCCCCCTGAGTATTAGGCAAATTAATTCCAGAGTCCTGGTCTAGGTCAAATAGAACCACCTCCTTTCAGCTTCTTACTTTTCCTCCCACGGGCACAATTCCTAACAAGCTCACACCAACTGTGCTACCAGTTCGCTTCTCCCCAGCCTCACACTGGGGCACGGAGCCAGTTTCTGAAGGGCTCAGAATGTTGCACGACAGACAAGGGAGACAGGCGGGAGGTGAAGAGCTAGAGCATGGTCTGCTCCTTCCAGGTGGGAGGCAGAGGGAACTGCAAGGGGTCAGGCCTGCAAAACACAGGCAGCGACCTCCCTGTGTGGGCTGGCAGGGAAGAGCTGCACACAGCCAAGGGCTGGTAAGAAGCCTCTGCCTGCAGAGGGAGGAGGAGAGAGAACAACGAAAAGTGTTTCTCGGTGCCACCCCTAAAACTTCACAGGGGCACAGAAGGAAGGACAAGCGTCAGGCAGCTCGTTTCTTTGTGCTGCCAGCAAGCATGAAATCTCTTAGCACACTGCAAAACGTGACACCAAACAGATGATGCACACATTGCCCCTGTTTGACCAAGTCCCACTTGCTCTTGCCTCCCTCTCGCTACGTCCTGGCCTCACGGCCATCAGGAGTTTTGCATTAATCCAGGAGTTTTGCATTAATCCAGGAGCACTGCTTCAGGCACGGGGGTGAAGGATGGAGAGCTTGGAGCCTGTCCCAGCTGACCACACCACCACTTATTGCAGGTAACCTGAAGGGGAACAACAAAACCAGACCAACAGGAAACCCAGACCTGTTCACCAGCCCAGCCAGCTACCCGGCTCGCTAAATGAGAAGGATGGTTGGTTTTGAGAAGTTTGGCAGGATCATCAGCCACAAGCTCAGCTCTTCTGGCCATCCTCAGGCCCCCAGAGCACCATCGGGCACACAAGGACCTATGCAGAAGCCATGGTGCCACAGCAGGACAATCTCCTGTGACCTCCCACAGAGTGACAGAACACTCCGCTCCTCCAGTGCTGTCACACGGGAACCGAGGGATACAAAGCATAAAGGCTGGGGAACACGTCCTGGGGGTCACATGAGGATGTCACATCTCATCCACGCAGGAGAAGATCGCTTCTCCCGCCTTGCTTGGCGACTCCTCTGCTTGCTGCCCCATGGACAGCAGTGACCCAGAGCCCGGTTTACTCCCCACAGAGTGGTGACCTCTCCCTGAAGAGGAGCTTCGCACCTTTCCCACAAACAGCCCTGCTCCTGCCAAAGCCTTGCACCCCTGCCAGCAAGCTTCATCCCAAGGTGGCTTTGGCCTTGTGCGTCATCCCCCCATCGAACAAGGAGCGGTGGCACCTGCGCAAAGCAAATTCACAAGTTTTTTAAGGAAAGGATCTTCTCACCCTCCCGAAACCCTGCATCCCAGCTCTCATTCATCACTACTTGTGGGAATCCCGCTTTCCTTGTCAGCACACCAGGGCTCGTTAACCTCCCGTGCCACACGCTGCTCTGCTCCTGTCCTGCTGTCCAGATGTGCCATCCCAGCAGCTCAAGGACTGCTGCGTCCCTGCAAGCGAGGCCAGACCTTCTGCACTGACAGGGGCCACTGCTTGTTGGCCCAGGGCTCAGACAAATTTAGTGCCGTGTATTACTGGTAAACACTGCCAAACGCGTGACCCGGGCTGCGAGAGACTGCTACAATAACCAGGCAACACTGAGAAAAGCTCCCCCTTCCCCAATAGCAGGTTGATAGCCTTAATGAGTAGCTAATTAACAGTTCTGAACTGAGTACCAAGGAGCAAGGAAAAAAACCTGGGAGGATCTGGACAGAAAACAACATCTCGTTCATTCCTCCGAGGCTCTGGCTGTGAAGGGAGCCTTCCAACCTGCGAGGGTGTTCGTACTCCTCCTCTTCTTGGCATCCTCGGCACCTCCCAGACACGAATAAAGGAACAGCCCAAGCACATGCCACACACAACCAGGGCTCTCCCTCGCACTGTGCGGGGTTTGCTCCAGGGTGGTTGTTCCACAGTGCACAAGCACGTCCGCACTGACACGCGAGGAGGAGTTTGCAGCAGGTGATGAGGTTTGCAGTGGGTCTGACTCACACTGGGACTTCATCCCACAGTCTCACACCAGCCACCCACTCACTCCCTCCACCTCCAGCATAGCCTCTGGAAGGACCAGCACACCAACCAGGGACCTGCCGGGTGTCGAAGGGTGTTCTGGATGCCGAGTCCTTCACGGTGGGTGCTCTCTCAGGCACAAGTCCTGCAAAGCACTTTGTTTTGCCCTCTACCAAGAGGCAGACCTCCACCACATACTCAGATCTGTCCTTGCAAACCATGACCCAGGAAATCCTGAGAGCTCACAGAACTCCACAAACCATCTTCGATTCCAAGCAATGGAGTTGCCTGCAATTACCTACCTACTCACAAGTGTCCCAATACCCCACGTCCCGAGGAGTCAGCTACACAAGCTTCCCCCACACCGAGACCTGCTCTAACAATTTGACGGGCTGAAAGGAAGACCACGAGTCCCACACACAGCGGAGAGCAGTCACTTGGGTGCTGCAGCAGTGCTAGGAGCACCGCTGCAACAAACGCAGCAGGACAGGCTCAGCGATGTGCCAAGATCCTCTCTGTGCACGACTTTTGGGAGAATTAGTAGCACCAGGAAATGAAATGCAGCCTGCAGAGCATCAAAATTAATCCAGGGTTTGGACAGCTGCTGCGATGGGTAGCTCACAGTGATGTGACTGAGTGGGTTAGATTTAAAAACATAAAAATAAAAACATCCAAGGATGCTGTTTGAAGGGAGCTGTTTTATTAGGATTTTACTTAGTGCTGGATTGTCAGCCCTGGCTTGCAGGTCTTATCTTTGTTTCAGTGCTAATAATCCCTTTCTGCATCATTTTTATGGCCCTGGCACAATTCTGCTGGCACCCAAAGCACTGAAACACTTTGGCCATCAACAGTTTTGCCAATAAACTCATTCCGAGCAGCTGGCCCAGCCGTATTAGTATTTCATTAGGATCAGCACAAGAGTAGAACACCACGATAAAAAACTCTCAGCTGACCTGAAGGCCAACAGACACTACCAGGTTGGGGAGCATTTGCTAAGCAAATTCCCATCCCAGGCCAGGAGCGTGGGAAGAGCACAGTGGTGCCGCTTTCTGCCGCTGCTCCCAACAGAGACCAGCCACGAGTGCCCTGAAGCCACTTTGCGCCATAGAAAAGAGACACTTTGGCCTGTTGCGAAGGCCAGAGAGCTACTGAGTCAGCAGCTCGCCCCAGCATGGCTGGAGAGCAGCTCAAATAGAGGCAGAAGGCTCTGAGCACAACCTCCCCATATCGGGTGGCTTTCACGAGCTGACAGCATATTTTCATCAGCATAGTACGAAAGATGGGGAGGTTTGAGTAACAGGCTCAAAGCAGGGCTCAGAGAGGGGTGGAAAAAAACCAACCTCATCAAGAAGGACTAGTTTTGAAGCAGGATAAACCCTACACAGACTGGGGTTGGATTTATATTGTTATTTGTGCCCCTGGAGAATCAGGAAGGATTTGCTTGGATTTTGCAGGCCCCCTGGCAGAAAGAGGTGGAAGCTCACCCAGCCCTGCAGCACTCACCGGCAGAAGGGACCGTGCAGCCTTTCTGGTGGTCGGAGGCAGAGTGCTTCTTGTAGGGCTTCTGCTCCGGCATCTCCTCCCTGTACGCCGTGGAGTCGAGGAGGGGAAGCCTGCTCAGGACCGGGGACTGTGGGATGCTGGGCAGCGTCCGGGACTTCCCCAGGAGCGGTCGCTGCAGCTTTCTGTCCAGAGACCTTGAGGGGAGAAAACACAGGGGGGCATACTCTGTTGAGTAGGTGGGATGGCTTTTTCAAGGCGGGACCCTTCTGTAACACACAATGCTGCCACTGGACTAAGAACATACAGTCCTTCCCAACACCAAAGTGCACCCTTCGCTTGCAAAGCTGCTGCTATTTCAGTAAAGCCTTCTCCCTTCGCCAGTGTATTTTAATCAGGATTTGCATCAGGAGCTGCAAGCCACAATCAGCATAAACAGCACATCAAGCATTCTAGCATCCGCCCCCACCTCAAAACTCACAGATAATCAGAATTAAGCAAACAAACAAACTACAGGGTTCAAGACTGAAATGATACAAATTCCCTTCGAGAGAGTTAAAAACCCCACTTAGCACTGAGCATCGTCTGAGACAGCAGAATGCTTTTTGTGGTGGAAACCAGGTCACTCAGGGGTCCCAGGGACATGCACTATAGGGAAGGTCCAGACTATATCAAGACAGACTCACACAGCAGGCACTACAGAGGTCATGAAGCTGTCATGCAACATGTAGAAACAGAATTTCCAGGTCTCTATGGGGTCAAAACCCAACCGAGCCTGATGACGGGGCTCAAAAGCTGCCAGGGTGACCAAGATGCACAGCAACGTGCTAGCAGTGCTACCATAAGCCTCCTCCTCCTCCAGAATCCCAGAGTACACCAAGCCTCACAGTGGGGCATGGGAGCAGGCCTCTCTTCTCCTGCTTCACCCTGTAGCCTCCCTCAAGGGATGGTCCTTAGGTGATGCCCTCAGAGGACAACACTGGCCCAAGGCCATGTTTCAAAGATCCCAGAAATGTGATAAAAAGGAACGGATGCCCGGCACCCTCATGGTGTGAGGAGACATGGGGGGATCACCCTGTGCTGAGGGCTGCAGGCTGGGGTCACTCCAAGACTATCCCCTGTACCCTGCTGTCACAGAGCCCACACGAGCCTGACCGAGCTTCCGAGCACACTCTTGAGGGGACTTAGCAAAGGGCCCCTCCTCACAAGGCTTTTCCCAAATCTCATACAGAACAGTACCTAACCTTCAAAGTTCCATCCAAAATTCAATTCTTAGCTGGTTTATGCTCATTTGTTCTTGTGCCAATATTAACCCTTAGCTTAAACAATTATTCCCCTTCTCCGGTGTTTGCTCCCATGATTAATTTCCACTACACCACAGTCACAGCTCCTTTCAGCCTGCATTTTTCTAGGCTGATTAAGCCAAGTTCTTTCAGCCTTCTCTCACAAAATGAGCTTTCATTCCCCATGGTTGTTCCCACACCCCTCGCTTGTGGTCCCTCCAGCTCGGACCTGGCATCCTCCACCCATCCCAGAGCATCACACAGAGCTGAGCTCCCGGAGCAGACGGCAGGGCAAACACTCTGCCTCCCCACACGTAACAGCACTAAATTTTATCTTATTTCCACTAAGCCGGTCTCCAAGGTCATGCAGGGAGAGTCTATCATGCAAAAGCTCCTGACCCTCGGTGGCTGCCTGTCACCGCTACGTTTATTATGATCATTTTTCACTCCCTTTACGAATCTGACAGCAGCTCCCAAGTGGTGTCAGCATCTGATGTAATTCATGGGCGAGCAGCAACAGGGGAGCCGGGGCAGAGTGACAGCGCCATGCAGCTACGTCCCGTGGGACAGGAACGCAGCCGGCACCCAGCCACGGAGACGGGCAGCGCTGTGTAGAGGGCAGGAGCTGCAGCCACCGGGAGCCAGGCAGCCCCTGCACTTGCTGCTGGAGCATCTACCCACACTCTACAGGATGCGTCCGTTGGAGCAGGGATGGGGAGCACATTTTGACATCTACGTTCAGAAATTTATTAATCTCTGCATTAATTGCGTTCACCTTTGATTCCCAGGTGATGCTGCTCTGCTCCAGAGCTGCCGCTGAGCACTCTGGGGACAGGGATGGCTGCAGGGATAGCACTGCCCCGGCAAGGCACTGCCGCAGCCGCACCAGGAGCACAGCACCATCCTGCCCACTCCAAGCCCCACGCTTCACTTGCACCGATGTGAAAACAAGCTATGCCAGGAGATACAAAGCCAGAATTAGCATCCTGAGTTGTTTCTATTTCAGTAAAATGTATGTACCTCTCGTTGTAACCCATTTCACTGTCACAAGACACCATGGATGTAACTTAACACATCGCTGTGCTGCATAAATGAGTCCCAGGCTCTGCCAGAGTTCAAAACATTCCTTTTTTCTTGCATGGAAGTCTCAGTGCTTTTAAATGCACCTGCGTATAGCTCCAGCACCTGCAGAACAGCATTAGCATTTTCAGTGCTAACATCCCTTTGTGCCTACACCTACAGTGCCCCTAACACAACTCACACAGGGGTAAAAGGGAAGAATTCACACCCTTAGAGGAGCAATTCTTAAGTTGTGTAGCTGCAGACAATGATTTATATCAGAAAGAGCAAAGCAGCTAGAAACCTGTTTCTAACTGAAATCTGAACTTGAATTCCCAAGCAAACTTTGGCTCTGTGGCTCTACCATCTCGTGTACAACTCCAGAGGCCTCAGCAGCAACTGTCAGCCATGACTCGATGCCTGCCACCTGGAAGTCACACTGCATCTACGTATGCTTCCCAAGCAGGCTCCACGGCTAGACGTGATCAAGGATGCCACATCCCATTAGTGAAGATCCCCGATGGAATGTAAAGCTCAATTAGAAAAGCCATAATCAACACTGTTGCAGCCTATATTTAACTGCTATTTGGCATTTTAGTAGAAAGGAGAGCACATAATCAAGTCTTGACAAGGGTGGAAAAATCCTTCTGGCTGCGTGCAAGAGCTCAGGCAGCAGCCCAGTGACGGCTCCATCACTCCCAGTCCGCAGCCAGATGGGGAAATGTGCGGACAGTTGCAGTGCCGGGTCCCCTGCTTGCTCCAGCAGCCCCCACCCCAGCCACAGCCTGCGACACCCGGGGTACACCCGGGGTACACGGATGCTGCTTCCCCAGGCTTTTATTGAAAGCAGACAGACTAACAAAAAAAACCCCACTGTGACAAAAGAAAGGCAAAAAAAAATAAAAAGAAGCAGAGCACATCTCAAAGGACACACTTTGTCCAGCGCCTTCCCTGTGGTGATGCCCTTACTGGATGGCTTCTCCATCACCCCAGGGAAGGAGAGGGGCAGGGCTGAGCAGAGATAAGGGGAAAGGAAGGATAGAGAAAAGGTTAATGCAAGTTAACCCAGGGAATGCCAGATCCTGCATCACTCCTGCAAGCAACTGCATGCATCCCCCAGACTGCCCTCCCCGTTACTTCCACACGGGAGAAGTTGCTCTCCAGAGCACACTTCCCAGCCCAGCCTGAAGGCTCGTTTTCATCTCATTTCGAAAGAGCGAGGAGCGAGCATCCACCTTACTGAGAGGAAGGATGGAGGAGTCACCACGCCAGCCACAGCAGAAAGCCAGCGACACAACAGAGATAGCAAGCAGGAGGGAACAGTAACCCTAAATCCACTACCCACACAATCCAAAAAGGACCCCGATAAGCTTCGCTGATTTACACAATTTCCCAGGAAAGTGAGTGAGAAAACCTCCCACTCACGTCACCGAAATGCCTGAGGACAGTGACTCTCCAGAGATGCCCTGTTCCTGGCAAGGGCGAAGCCCTCACCCTGCCACAGCGCCCAGCCCCAGCAGCTCTCAGACAAACCCAAGCACGCACTGTGCTAACCCCGCTCACTCCAGTCTTCCCAGCGCCAGGCTGCTCGCGGAAAATGGGAAGGAGAGAAGTTGGCAAGGCTAAAGAGGGAGAGAGGCAGAGGAACGGGGCACCAGCTGCTCTGGACTTTGCCTGCCTGCTCCAGCCCTATGGCTTGGCGACAGCCATACGCCCCAACATGTGAGACCAATTCCAAGCTCCAAGGGGGACAATACGTGTTGTTCAAGCTCCAAAAGGCAAATAAGGTTGTAAATAAAAAAAAGGAGAAGCCAAATGGCTGCTCATCCTCCTGCAGGACCACACAGCATTTCACAGGTAATAAATCTGCCAAGCAAAGGAAGCTTATAAAGCTGAAGGTTTGGGGAAGATCAGTTAAATGAGGTACTGAGATCAGCCCTAGACTGACGGAGGACGGCAGGGAGCGGGGCCAGGAGAGCCCAGTTATTGCAAAGAGACACTGCTCCCCTCTCTTCCCCGCTGCTCCTGCCTGTACCGCTGCTCAGCCTGCTCCTCCAAGGAGGAGTAACTTAGCAACCTGACCTTAAAAAACTCGGCAAAGGTTTCAGCTGGATTCAGGAAAATGAGATGCTACTAGCCAGGAGGAGCAATTACCCACCACAACCCTCTTTTAGTACGGGGTCATGAGCAGATGTGCCTCTACTCAGGGAGGAGGGCGAAGGCAGCGTGCACCTCCTCCACAGCCCGAACCGCACAGCCTCTTACCACAAGCAATGGCTGCAAATCTGAAAAAAATAAACAAGACACCCACATCCATTCCCTGAAACAGCTGGGCAGGGTTCATCTTTTACGGCCATCCCCGTGGTGCCTCACCCCACTTTCTGTCTGGGCCCCTCCTGCGGGAAGTAGCCAGGAGCAGAGCAGGACCTTGGACACCCCACCAGCCCAGAGCCCAAAGCCGGGCACAGCTGGGCACAGCCCTCACCAGCTGCGGGGAGGCTGTGTGTCACGGGAGAGAGGAGATGAGCAGCAGCTTGTGCAATGCTCTCCTCCAACCCCATCCAGACGGCAGGAGATGACATGAAAACATCTACCTGCAGCTGGTTTCTGCAGAGGGGCTTCGCAGGAAAAGCAAGCAGCAGGAGGAGAGGTGGAGCAGAGGAGGCTGCAAGCGCCTGAGAAGCCGTTTCTGGACAGAAGCACAAGGCGACAGCAGCAGCAGCTTCGGGACACAGGTCTGCGTGGCGCAAAGCTCAAAGCAGTGGCAGGGCCCCATGGAGAGCAGGAAGTGAAGTTTAGGGGGATCACACAGCAGCGGGGAAGCCTAGAGGAGGAGTCCCAGAGGAAGCAATGCA